GCATGTACCTTGGATGCAGGCACATCCCCAGTGGGGGATATGCAGGAGGTGGCTAATCGGTGTCTCTCTCTCATTCATCAATATTTCTAGTTCTCTATCCCTCTCCCTTCCTCTCTGTGAAAAATCAATATAATATATTAAAAAAAAAAAAAAAAAGATGAAGTCTAAACTTCAGTTGTGGCAGCAGAAATTGAAAAGGAAAGGCATTTATGGGACACTAGAGGCCCAGTGCATGAAAATTTAGCCACTGGCAGGGGCAGGGGAGGGGGAAGGAGTCCCTCAGCCCAGCCTGCCCCCTCGCACAGTCTGGAAGCCCTCAGGGTGGGTCAGTAGGCGACTGGGCGTGAAGGCAAAGCCCCATCACACCTCTGCTGCTGCCCCTGCCAGCCTTGGCCGGCCCTGGTTACCTGAGCCTCGGATGGCCCTGGATGGCTGGGCAGCCGCCATCCGAGGATTGTCTGTGCCTGGGGATGGCCTTGGCAGAGGGGACTGGGGACTACAGAGGCAGGCGTGCAAAAGGACTGAGGAGACTGGGTGCTGCCATCTTGTGCTGTGGGCGCTGCCATCTTTGAGGGCATGGCAGTCATTTAGCATATCCCCTCCTTATTGGCTATGGGCACCACCACTTTGAGGGTGGAGCAGACAATTAGCACATTCTCTCCTTATTAGATAGGATTACTGAAGAAGACTACTTAGATAGTTCTGTGTGACTAGATGAATCAAGTATCTAGGTTCCAAACTTTAGAGAAAGACAAGTTACTGATGCCATTAACAGGTGCAGGAACCATGGATGGAGGTGCAGATATAGGATGACAGATTTAGTTTGACATATATGACTTTGAAGTGTCAGCAAGACACTCAGAAGGAAATATTCAGCAAATAGTAAAATTGGTCTTGAGAGCTAAAGGATATCCACACATATGATAGCATCAAGTACAATGTCAAGTCTCCATACACCTTCTGCTACAAGTCAGACCAAATTATCTGTAGTTCCCCAAGGAGCAGCTCTCTCCCATTTCTACCTCCAAACAAACTTTCCTACCAAGCCAGCCACCCTACCTCACACTGGTTAACTCTTTGTCATCCTTCGGAATCCTCAGGTACCATTTCCCCAAACGCCACTCATTTCCACCAGGAAGATGGAACCTGGGTCTTACCTCTCTATATATAGAGAGGTAATGTTTAGTGCCATGATAAAAATAGCAGTCACTTGAAATACTGATTCAAGGAACAGACTTGGCATGTGCTGAACAAGCCTTGGAAGAAACTGTATCCTCTTAGAGGTGACCGCTAAAGAAGTGAACTTGGATGAGATTTCCATAGAGAAAAGAAAACTAAGAGGACCTAAATATAGATAATATTGGTGGAACATCTTCATCTAAAGAGCAATTCCCAAAAATGTTTCTCAACTTCTTTCAGCCCTAAATACCTCAGCTGTAATATGGGCATCATTACTTCCACCGCATAGGTTGCTGGTACAATTAAACGAGATAGAATAAGGTACCTTGTATACTGTCTGGCATTCAATTCATGTTCCCATTTGTTCCCTAAAACCAATGTGAAATCATGTTAGAATGCTTTTTTTTTTTTTTTTTTTTTTTTTTTTTTTTTTTTTTTGCAATTTCAGTAGCTGCTACAACCTGAAAAACAACCCAGCTTAGAAAAATAAAGGCTACACTGGTCGGACGTTCTTCCTAGGGCAAAGTTTTTTTCTGTTTCAACACTACTGTCAACTTGAGCCGGATGATAGGGAGCTTTCTGTGCACTATAGGGTGTTTAACAGCATCCTGGAACTCCACTCACTAGGTGCCAGTAGCACCTCCAATCAAAAATGACTCCATACATTGTCAAATGTCCTCTGGTTGAAAATCCCTATTCCAGAGCTAACTGAAATTTTCACAAAGGCCTAAATCCTTTTCCCCTGATCTCTACAAATATATCTCATAAGTTTATTTGTTCCCCAATGACTGATCTACCCATTAAACTTTGTAAATCATTCTCCTTAAAAGTCCACCGAAACTGTTAGCTAGCCCCTGAACTGTCAAACAAATCATCATAGATAATGCATGCAGCCTAGTCACTCAATGCTTTATCACACTTTGACACTGAAAGCCAAACTAATATAATGAAAGCAGGAACAGCCGATCCCAAAAGGTCTTCATACAAAATTAAGAGATTTGTCCCAATACTCAAGTGTCTAATATTTTAACATCAAGTCTACAGGTGGCACTAAGGAAATATTGTATAAAATGAGCTTTAGTTGCCTAAGGACTTCTACAAATTTGGAAGACACTAATGACATAAAAATATTATATATATTTAAGAATTATTTTGGATCATATGCCCACCTATTTCAACAACATAAAATATTATGTTCACTAACAACAAAAAGGAGCAAAATAATAGAAAAACAAAAACTGAGTTAACAATTTAGGGTTTTTAAATAAATTCCTTGAAGTTAATAAGTATAGGTAACTGAATACAGATTTGGAATCAGACTACCGGGATTAAAAACCCAACTCCATCACTTATTAGATAGATGACTTGATAAATTACTTCACTTCTCTATGCTTGCTTCCTTCTCGGTTAAATGGGGATAATTACGGTTACCTAACTTGTGGTGCTGTTTCGGGCTGAATGAGTAAAAACAGGTAAAATGCTGAAACAGTGCTTAGAACAAACATACTTAAGTACTAAACATGGTTTGTCATTAGTTTTAATGATGCATAAGCACCTTGGGTGGCTCATAAAAGTAGGTACAGTAGAGTCAAACAACAATAAACTTGCACCCACATGCTCTGGGCTCATTATTTCAGTTCCTTAACTATTTCATTTGGCATCAATTTCCTCATCTTTAAAATAGGAAAGCACTTTGAAATGATGACATAAGGGAAAGTCTAAGGGCAGTATATTTACTAGGATAGCAGGGAAAAGTTGCATCTGACTTCCACCTTGGAAAAAGGAAACCCTGTGGAGGAGGTGCCTTTTAAGACAATACTCTAGTAATGGACCCCATGGGGAAAGCACATGCCTTGAACCAAGGCAGGTCTGACAAAAGCCCTTGCTTTCTTTACTCCAGAGACTTTCAATCTTTTTTTCATCTCATGATATACATACACTAATTACTAAAATTCTCACACACACACACACACACACACACACACACAGTATAAATTTGATTCGTTCACATCCAGATGGTATTGTTGTGTTGGCTATTGTCATTTTTTAATTTGACAATGTTAAGTGTGGACGAAAGGGCCACATGCTGACCTGAGAGGCTCAGGGGAGGCCTGCATGGCAGTACTGCAAACTCAGAGACCTAAAGAAACCACAAAGGATGGTCTGAAATTAAACTTTTACTAAAAGCAGTTATGGTCTGCAGTTACATCTTAGGCAGGTATCTTCACTGACAAGGTCAACCTTTACCTTAACTGAGTCTATCTTTTTTCATCTATGATAACATACCTTTGAAATGTCCAGGTAACTTGTAACTTTCCTTTTTCTGGAGCCCCTGGGGCACAACCAAAGGTGAAGGGCGGGCGGCCGGACAGATACCACAAATTCCTTCATTATGTTATTGTTCCTGCACCCACCTAAGTATGTGTCCATGATTTTATACATTTTGTCCAATCTCAGGGGGTTCCCCACCCCCTCACCTCCTTGCTTTATCCCACTTCCTTAATCTGTCACCCACGAATTTTCATATAACCCACCTATGTCCCTCTTTGATTGCAATGTATAAATACAAATGTAACCCGCCATTCTCCAGAGCATTATCTCAATTCATTGAGGTTCTACTTTCCAGCATATGTCGACAGTTTGGCTCAAATAAACTCACAAAAATTCTTTACAGGTTTCAATTTTTTTTTTTTTTTTTTTACCTTAACATACGGAAAAGAGATCAGAGCCCCTGACTAGTCAGGTATTGAATGTTTTAAATTCTTGCAGCACACCAGCTGAAAATCGCTGCTTTATGCTACAGTTTGAAAGCTTAAAAAATAATACCCGGATTTTTTTTAAGTTTCTTTTCTTCATAGAAGATGGGGACTAACCCTTTGAAGGTAATAGAAAGACATTAACAGCACTGGCAGCGATTTGGGCCAGTACGCGACCTTTTTTCAATTACGAATGATCCGTTCTTTTAGAAGTAAACGATGTTGAAAGAAATTCGATTCGTCTTGTATAATGAGGAGTGTCCCAACAGTTTTAAGTCAACTTGGTATGTTTGTTTTTAGTTAGTAAAATCACTGCCTTCCAATGAACATTTCAAAAGCATCAAGGACTGTGCACACTGCACTTTATACGAAAGAACATTTAACAAACAACGCCTTTAAGTAAAAGTTGCGAAATCAATCACATGTGAAGCAGGTGTTATGCCCAGTACTGTCCTCACTGAAGCTAACAAATGCAAAGAAAAAAAAAAAAAAAAAGGAAACCAGCCTTTCCTGTCCGTTCACCTAATTGCCGCTCCGACCCCCAACCCTCACCCCGCAGCCAGGCCTCGGAGGCTGGGTCCGGGTCCCTGGACCCAGTCTGGTCTGCAAAAGTGCCGGCATCCAGAGTGTGTAAGAAAGGGAAAGGAAAGTCTCCTTTTTAAGAAAAAAAAAAAATTCTGGCTTTGCCCCAAAAAGGCAGAGCCCTCGCAGGGACCCCCCCACGCCGTCGCACCCCGGGAAAGAGGCGGCGGCGGCAGGTGACTGCTCGGTCCGGTCCGGTCCCCGGACTCTCCGCAGCCCGGCCCGGAGGACTCCCACGTGGCGCCCGCAACCTGCCCGCGGCCGGCTCCCCCCCCCCCCCGCCGGCGCTCTGATTGGCCCAGGGCGCTGGAGCCGCGCCCAGACAGGAGGCGACTCCGCCAAACGGGGCGGGCACCGGAGAGAGGTCGTGGCCATGCGGGCTGCACCCCGAAGAGCGGCATCTGCACGTTGGCCCCACACCACACTGAGGCCCCGGTTTGAGGCCGGCGCCGTCCCCCTCCGCCCGACGCAAGCAGCGCTCACCTCAGCGCTGGCGGCGCCTCCACCTTCAGCTTCTTGGGCTTCGGCTCCCCTTCTGCCGCGGCCATCTTCGCGCTCCCACCCCGCTTAGGATCCAGCGTGCGCCCCACCTCTCCGGCGCCCCGGTGCCTCCCCCGCCTCCTAACACCGCCTCCGTTTTTGACAGACCCCTCCCCCTCGACTCCTCCCAGCTCACGCCTCTCCCACCCTCAATCATTGGCTCTACCGCCTCAGCTCCACCCACTCATTGGCTGACACCGCCCCTTCCTGGTCCCGCCCCTTCTCGCAGGAGGCCAATCCCCCACCTCAGATTGTGTTAGGTTGCGGATGAGCGCCTGAGTCCAGGAACGCGGAAACCCCCTCGTTCTTCTGAATTCTCGGAGATCTAAACTACCTGAGCCCTAAAACGCAAGAGATATATTTCTTTTCATTCAACGTCTTCCCGCTTAATTTAACCTTTCCAAATCTGCAGCCCTAGTTGGTCTCTCTGGAAGTTGTTAGTCAGGCAATCTCCTGGGCGCCCCCACGGCGGGGTCCTCACGGCCTACGCCGCCGCCTCGGCCCCGGTGCGGAGAGGACCCGGCGCCGAATCACTGACAGGCCCAGGTGTCGGGGTGAGTGCGAGGGGCGGGGAGTCTGCGTTCTGGGGACCGCTGGAAAGCTGGGGAGCAGGCTGAATGAATATCCTGGGCTGCGGGAGAACTCCCGCGCTGTGGACGGGGGCCGCGATCTCCCTCCTTGGCCTGCCGAGCTTTCTTGCCAGCCGGAAGGCCCCCCCGGAAGGCAGCGGTGCACCTGCAGCCCCGCGTTCCCAGGCTCCAGGCCCGAGAGGCTCGGGCTCCTTGGGAACCCCTCTCCGTCCTCTGGCGCGAAGAGAAGGTCTTGTCAGCCACAGTGAACTGGAGTGCCGACGGCTTGGACCTCGGCCCCAGGCTTCTGCTTAGGAGAACCAAGCCCGTGACTGTGCGGAGCGCACATCCTGTTAGGAGAGAGGGCGGCGCCTGGGGGGGAGGGGGGGGAGGGAGGGAGCCGGGTGCGGGCGGTACCGGGAGGAGGGGGCTGCCGATCTAACGACAATGTAAACGACCTTTACATAAAGTTAGGTGGTGGGAACCTAACCTGAGGGGGTGGCCATGAGTGTGGGAGAGGGATGGCCAATGTGGCTGGTTGCACTGGGTAGATTTGGCTTGAAGCTGAAGCTGAAACTTCTGTCGTACAATGCATGATTAGGACGGTGGTGCCACGATAGAATCAGGAGGAATTTTGTGGAACTTGGGATCTATATCGAGTTTGAAGCAGTGGTTTAGGTAGAGATGGCAGAAGGATGACAAGAAGGAAGCCGGGAAGAAACGTTCACGGTGAGAACAAAGCGGGTGAGGGTAAGAAGTGTTTGTTTTGTTTTGGGGAGTGTGGGCAGTGACCTGAAACGCTGCGGGGGTGAAAGGAGTAGCTAAGTGGGAGTCTGAGCCGAGGTGGTTGGATTTGATGACCCGGAAGTTGTCGGGCCGTTTGACAGCTGCTTGAATAGAGTCAGTTACTGAGCGGAGAGCCTGCCGGTGTGGACGTAAGGCTTCTTCACTTGTAGCAGGAAGCAAACACTTGCTGAGGTTGGCAAGGTTGCTAAAGAGCTTGAGGTTGGTTTGTTGTTAGGAATACTTCCAAATATTCTTTTTTTTAAGGCACCATTTCCTTGATCCAACCTCTCCATTATCTTTGGTGCAGAACGCCAGTAACCAATGGAGAACATTAAAGATTCAGAATTGCAAATGGAAGGATTCGTTCTGGAAAGAAAAGGGGACAGTTTCCATTGAAACCATAGGAAAAGTGGAGAAATGAGGGGAATGAAGAATTACCCAAAACTTAACACCTCTTTAGTAGGAAAGCTCTCTTTGCAATAAGATCAGCTTTTCACATTGAATCTTGGATTCCAAGCATGCAACATACTATTGGAGTTCCCTGCAGATTATATACTCAGGTGCTCAGTAGTATCTCAATTCATGGGTAGGAAATGGTGTTTGTAAAGATGAGGAATTCTCTCTCCATCTGCAAATTACCTTCCTTCCTGTTACACGGAGAAAATTAAAGCCACTGTCTTCCTGCAACCAAATATGTAAACCTTCTTCCCTTTTGTTTAAAGAAGAAAAATGTCTCTTCTCCTTATGGAAAACAAATCCTTTCACCTAGTTCAGTGGTCTGCAAACTTCGGCTCTTGAGCAACATGCGGCTCTTTGCCCCTTGAGTGTGGCTCTTCCACAAAACACCAGGTGCAGGTGCGCACGTACAGTGCTATTGAAACTTCGTGGTCCATGTGCAGAAGTCGGTTTTCGCCTTTCCAAAGAAATTTCAATTTACTGTTGATATTTGGCTCTGTTGACTAATGAGTTTGCCGACCACTGACCTAACTGATCAATACCATCCTCTCCTACCTTTACATTGTCGTCGTTTTGTTTTGTTTTTGGGGTTATTCTCTCCCCTCCATTATCATCATCATCCCCCTCTGCTCATATCTTTTCTTTCCTATTTAAAAATATTCTTCCTTGCCGAGACCGGTTTGGCTCAGTGGTAGAGTGTCGGTCTGTGGACTGAAAGGTCCCAGGTTCGATTCCAGTCAAGGGCATGTACGTTGGTTGCGGGCACATCCCCAGTAGGGGGTGTGCAAGAGGCAGCTGATCGATGATTCTCTCTCATTGATTTAACTCTCTATTCCTCTCTCTTCCTCTCTGTAAAAAATTAATAAAATATATTAAAAATATTCTTCCTTAACTTTATGAACAACACCCATTTCTTTTTCTGTCTTTTTATTTTCTTCACAACTAGAGTTCTTGAGTGTATCTTCTGCTCTCCTCATCTGTTTTTCCCACTTCTTGCTACTTATTTCTTATTTCTCAGCCCAATTCAGTATATCTGGTTTCCAGTTTTCCATTAAGCTATCACTGAAACTGCTTTTAATATCATCAAAGTCCTCTCTGTGTTAAATTATATATTCTCAGTAGGGAGAAGAAAAAGTCATTCCTTTTTTAAAGCACAGATATACTAACAGTACATTAGGAAATATACAGTATATACTTGTGGTTTTGAAATTTTCAAGGGGAGGGTTATGATAGAGAGTCTGAAAAGACTCCTTTAACAGGAAATAATGAAAAGAAAGTTGAGAAACAGCACTTTCAGTTCTTGTAGCTTAAACTGTTGGTTCCATTTACAATGTTTAAAACACCATTCTTCTGGACACATGTTAACACACTATAGTTACTAAAAACCATTACCTTCTCTGCTTTTTTCTTACCCTTTTTCAGCCAAATCTTTTTTTTTTAAGCATGTTTTTTTTAAATGGGACAGTGAAGCAAGGAGGCTCTTAGGATAGAAGAAGCAACAGGAGAGAGACTAGGAGGCTGCTTTGGCTCCCTAGAACAGTTATGGGAAAGAAGTGAGCCAAGGTGGAACTGATAGCAGCTCATAGGAAAGTCAGATAAGGGAACTTGAAGACAGGTTCAGGGGATAGCCCAGGATGAGGTGCCACTGCCCATTGCTCTCCTGGTTGCAAGTCTCATGGGGACCTTAGAGTTTAAGAGATGAATGCCTGTGGGGGGAAGAAGAAGAGGGAGGAAAGAGTGCTGGCTTACTCCTTGGGGGGGCAGCACATCCAAATATTCTTTTTTTAGGCATATTTCCTTGACCCAGCTGCTACTCAGATGTTGGAGTTCCTTCCACAGACACTCTTCAGTTCACACTCTCTCTTTGTAGTTTTATTCTCTTTATAATCACAACCCTGTCTCCCATTGTTTAATATAGAAAACATTCAAAACTACTTGTTGAGTGTATAAATGGTCAAAGTATTGGCTGAGACTCAGGTGAGCCAGATTCTTCTGGTCTCATTCTTCCACCTTGGATATGCCTCTTTGCCTTCCATGCCTTTATTCTGTTCTATATGTAGGGAATACATTTTCTTTTTTCTCTTCCAAGGATATTTTGACTATTGTAATTGCACTGCTTATGTATCATCAGGATGAGTATGTTCGACATCTGGTAAAGGGGATTTATGAAGTATTTAAACTGTAGTCAAAGCTCTGATGGAACTGCTCTGAAGACAGTTTCTCAAGTGGCTTTAAAATAACTGGTAGAATTCTGTTTTCTGGCTCAGAGTCACTAAGAATAAAAAGATAGTTGGTGTGATGGTGTGTGTAGCTTTCCCAGAAGGTTTTTAAAAATATTAAAAAGAAGTGCAGCTGCTAAAAGAGTAAGTAGCCAAAGAAGCAGGCTGCAAGTGATATTTATTCGTTATATGCATTAGGCCCTTCGTCATTATATGGATAGAAGAAATAAGCTCTCATTTCGTATAGTAGAAGGTTAAGATGAGTTTTTAAGCTAAGCACTAATGAAAGCTACGAAATGCTATGCTTTCATCTCAGCACTAAGGATAACAATAAATCCAGATGGCCAGTTTAACACACTGTATTCTTCTGAGACCTGAACTACTGCCAATGAAAACAACTTTGGTGGAAACTTTTCCTGGAAAGAATTCTTCACCAGTTTAAAAAGATGAGTAAGAATCTGGCCTCTAAAAATAAAGAAAACTTCAAAGTCACTTGTTTCAAGAAACAGCTGTCTTTTTGGGTGTATAAGATAAATGGTTGAAGAAGAGAACATATGTCAGCTCCTTTAAATATAATTTCTGCTCTAAATAATTTATTAGGACACATTTTGGCTTCTAACTATACAAGAAACACACCCTCCAACTATTTCTCTTAATTAAAAGTTCAAACAGCACATTTGCATCTGGAAGTCTAGTTGTCCCAGCATCATTTCTTGAAAAGACTGTTTTCTTCCCCAGTTGAATGTCTTTGGCACTGCTGTCAAAAACCAATTGACCAGCCCTAACTAGTTTGGCTCAGTGGCTAGAGCATTGGCCTGTGGACTCAAGGGTCCCAGGTTCGATTCTGGTCAAAGGCATGTTCCTTAGTTGCATATCCCCAGCAAGGGGTGTGCAGGAGACAACTGATTGATGTTTCTCTCTCATCGATGTTTCTAACTCTATCCCTCTCCCTTCCTCTCTGTAAAATATCAATAAAAT